GTACAGGTATTTGGGTTCAAACATGTAAGAAGTAGAAAGTACAGGTATTTGAGTTCAACATGTAAGAAGTAGAAAGTACAGGTATTTGAGTTCAACATGTAAGAAGTAGAAAGTACAGGTATTTGAGTTCAACATGTAAGAAGTAGAAAGTACAGGTATTTGAGTTCAACATGTAAGAAGTTAGAAAGTACAGGTATTTGGGTTCACATGTAAGAAGTAGAAAGTACAGGTATTTGAGTTTCAACATGTAAGAAGTAGAAAGTACAGGTATTTGAGTTCAACATGTAAGAAGTAGAAAGTACAGGTATTTGAGTTCAACATGTAAGAAGTAGAAAGTACAGGTATTTGAGTTCAACATGTAAGAAGTAGAAAGTACAGGTATTTGAGTTCAACATGTGAGAAGTAGAAAGTACAGGTATTTGTTTTCAGAATGTAAGAAGTAAAAGTAAAAAGTCATCAGAAAAAATAAGTAGTGGAGTAAAGTACTGATACCAGAAACATGTACTTAAGTGCAGTAACAAAGTATTTGTACTCCAATACTTCCCACCTCTGTATGTAACGATCATGGATGTTGCCCCGTGTTTCTGTTCACTTCCCCTATGTGATTGTTGTACGTGACATATTCTGTATGTAGTAACGTGTGTGTATGTTATGTGTTGCTTCTGTGCCACACTTTATTGTTATGTAAACTACATTGACTTGTATGCCCCTTGTAGCACTTTGGGATTGCTTTTAGTAATGAGAGTTGCTTTACAAACCAAATGTATTATTATTATCGGTATGTCCCGCATTACCTGTGGTTTTACAATTTAATGTAAAATCCTATCTCCTCTATCTTTCCTCCTTTCTTCTTAATTAACCCTTGTGATGTATTGTGCTTTTACGGTGTCTATTATCATCTAGCCGAGGACAACAGCTGGAGATTTGCCATGTTAAAGCTGCCAAATGTAAGGTTTTTGTACCAGTAAATTAATGGGGACTGTACATGAAACCATCTTCTGTGGAGTTTAACTGACCTCTCTTTCCCGAACACCAAACAATACTCTCACAGATTCATGTTCCCCGCCTGCTTCCTCATTCTGGGGACATCGTGTCTGTGTTTATATGCCAACGTTTTGTATATTCATGACTCTTTGAGGCCAGGTACACGGACAATGAAGGGCACACACACACACACACACACACACACACACACACACACACACACACACACACACACACACACACACACACACACACACACACACACACACACACACACACACACACACACACACACACACACACACACACACACAACACACACTGTAAAACACACAAAACTGCATCAGGAGTAAACGGAGACGATACAACCACATCTCACACACTGTAGCTTTTAGTTGAAGCAACATGTGCTGCAACAAAGATGCCGTTCACAAAATAAGGGAGCATACATTTTATGTATTTTTTTATTCTATGTTATTATACAGCTTAGTTGAATACTCAATGTTGATTGGTCTGTTTGGAACCTTCCGTTGCTAAGGATACCAGACCGTTGCTAAGGGAAATGTAATGTTAAGTTACGTCGCTGAATGTGAAACCAAAATGTTAAAAAATCACAAAAACAGGCCTCGCTAACATGGGACAGATGGTGCAGCATTAATACACATGTCTACACACACACGGACACACACACACACACACGCACACACACACACACACACACACACACACACACACACACACACACACACACACACACACAGGTTGCATGACGAGATCATCTCAACACGATTCCTCGCTCTCCTTCCATCAGAGTTATTTATGGGAACATCAGCTCTCACAATGGTGTTATGGTTCCCAGTTTGGAACCAGATGTGTGTATCTGTCCACAATGATATTATGGCTGAGGAGTCCACACACACACATACCATGTATACATCACTTCAGGGGACATTACATTGAGTTACATGCATTTCCTGGAGACTTATCCTAACCCTAACCATAACCAACACACGCCTAACCCTAACCCTTAACCTAACCCTTACCCTAACCCTTACCCTTAACCTTACCCTAACCCTTAACCTTACCCTTACCCTAACCCCTAACCCTTAACCTAACCCTTACCCTAACCCTTAACCTTACCCTTAACCTTACCCTAACCCTTAACCTAACCCTTAACCTAACCCTTAACCTAACCCTTACCCTAACCCTTAACCTTACCCTAACCCTAACCCTTAACCTAACCCTTACACTAACCCTTAACCTTACCCTAATCCTAAACCTAACCAAGTCTTCACCCTAAAATTAATGATTCCTCTTATGGGGACCTCCAATTTGTCCCCATAAGGGAAGCCAGTCCCCACACGTGACTGTGTAAACAGATTTAGGTCCCCACAAGTATAGTAATGCTAGACCACACACACACACACACACACACACACACACACACACACACACACACACACACACACACACACACACACACACACACACACACACACTGATAACAGAACCTGAGGTAATCTGGACCTGCAGACCAACACGCAGCACTTCATGGCTCAGAGGGTTTGAGTTTTTTCAGTATGATTGAACACAGTAGCACTCAACAAACATGGCTTTACGTTCAAAGGTCCGTTTACTGAAAGATTTGATCCAAACAAAGCGAAACATTTTACATATATTTCCTGAGATATTTAAATCAAGATCAAATTGTCAAGCCAAGATGGCAACCTATCCAAATATCAGTCAATGTAGAAAACAAAACATTGGGGGAATTTACAGGACATGTCAATCCCTAAAATTGCACCTAGTTTAGATTCATAGAAGGGGTGCCGTATTGAGTCCTGAAACCCCAAAATGAATCAGCATTTCACCATCAGCATTTCACCATCAGCATTTCACCATCAGCATTTCACCACTAATGATCAGGGTGGATGTGCGAGTGTGAAGAGATGTGTTTTGAGGCGTGATTTGAAAATGGGGAGAGAGTCAGTGTTGCGGATGTCAGGTGGGAGGGAGTTCCAGAGGCGGGGTGCAGAGCGGCTGAAGGCTCTAGACCCCATGGTGGTTAAACGGAAGGGGGGTGCAGTGAGGCTGAGGGAAGCAGAAGATCTGAGTGTGCGGATGGGTGTGTTGATGTGCAGGAGGTCGGAGAGGTACAGAGGAGTGAGGTTAGGCCATCCATAACCTCACTATTATTATTATTACTTCCTGTCCCCTCGTCTATAAATCAATGGTTTTCTGAATGTGTTTTTGGCTGTTATCCTGAAATAAGGTCTGTGGTGAACACAAGCTGAAGAGATTTTAACCGTTTAGTTCAATGAAATTAAATGTGTTCGCATCGTAAATGTTTGTTTGCCACAGATATAATTTTCTGCAATTTTCCAAAATCAAATTGAAGAAATCCCACTGGCTTTTTGTCAAGAAGCCTTTGGGATGCTAACGGCCCGTCCACACGGCGGCGTGCGTTGAAGCTTCAACGGTTCTGCCCATTCACTTTGAATGGGGTGACGTCAGCAATGCTCAACTTTTGAAGCTTCGACGGAAGCGTCAGCCAATCAAATCATATGCGAGTACAATCTCTAGCCAATCGAACCGCGTGCTTGTGTGTCCGGAGCGGGAGATTCATTTGATTGGTTGTTAGTCGAGTTTCAGACACGCCCACCGGCAAGCTTCAACGCACGCTGCCGTGTGGACGCTGCGTAACAATAATACTTTTTCCCTGCCCCATTAGATTACCCCAAACATATCATACAATAGCCAATAAAACATGTCATTGTTACGAGGAAGGTCATGTTTTTGGTATCGTTGGTTTGTCTGACAGCACGATTACAGAAATACCACCGGGCCGACTTTCACGAAACTTGGCAAAATAATGACCTATACAAAATTAAAGTATGAATAGTATTACGGAAGACATCCAATTTACAGGGCAGACACACTCATTATTTTGCAGTGTTGTTATCATTGCAAGATAAAGCCTGGGATTGCAAAAGTCTGCACTCTGGTTTGTTTGCAGAATCATTTCGTTTTTTGCAGCCTGGTGCTAGACCTAGTACCTGTCCACAGTATTAACCCAGTTTAAGACATCATGACATTTGAAAACCATATTAAGTCTCAGGACTGAAGAGAATAAGAGCAAGACCAATGAGAGCTTCTTTCGTAAAATGTAGAGATAATTTAACGTTGCACAGATATGTTTCTTAGCTGAATAAACAGCACATTCATGCAAAGATTAAGATTGAGTTCAAGTCCTGTAAAGTGCACTTTAGTGATACGTTACTGTAGAATATTCCTCTTTATTAAAGCTGGGAGTTTCACTTAATGTTTATTTTGTCTGTTTCCCAGGAATGTATAGGTCTGGTCATGGAGATGCATATCTCAGTTGGAGGCACTAAATCAAATAAGCAGAAGGTCCACGCGGCACAGTGAACGAAGGATTAACGGATCTGAGTCTGAGGTTGGACTCCTGCTTCTGCTCAAATATGCAAAGAATTGAAAAGTGAAGCAAAGTATTGTCGCACCAAGTATAATGTGGCAGCTCAAAAGCATCAAAATCACATTAAGACACGTGGAAAAGTAATAAATAGAGGCCTGAATGAATGTCTGTATAAGGGGTGATGTCAAAATGTTACCGAAATCACAATATGGACTATTGTAGTGTACTGTTAGTATGTGTTTAAGTGTTAAAATGTGTTGAAATACACATTTTATAAAGTTTAGTAGAGCTGCAGTGATATCCCGGCCCACAAGTTACATCCGATATTCCATATTATATAAATATACCTAAGAAAACACGTTTGTTTGGAACACATTCTCTTAAAAATTTGAATTTGAATATATTTTTCAATGGTAATGAGAAAAACGGTGCAAAATGATGAAACCCATCGTATTTCTTACTGAGCGACCTGGATGCTAGCACTGTTGGCATGGTTACCTGTTAGCACGTTTACCGGTTAGCACGGTTATACCTGTGGGCACGGTTACCTGTGGGCATGGTTACCGGTTAGCACGGTTACCTGTATATGACTCCGTGCCGGTGCAGGAACATCAGAGCGGACGTGACCTCGGCGGCGTAGAAACGAGATCTGGCCTCGTCGAACTTCCTCGATCTCTGGATCTGAAACATCAGGTCGCCTCCGTTCACGTATTCCATCACGAAGAACAGGCGGTCCTGCAGAGAGGAGGGGGAGACACATGTGAGAAATGAACACATTCTGCTCTTTTCCAGATTCATATTGGTATGTAGTGTCTCTACTTTAAAGAGTCCTCTCCTCTGATGTTCAGGTGTGGTGTATATCAGTATGTAGTGTCTCTACTTTAAAGAGTCCTCTCCTGCTGATGTTCAGGTGTATATCAGTATGTAGTGTCTCTACTTTAAAGAGTCCTCTCCTGCTGATGTTCAGGTGTATATCAGTATGTAGTGTCTCTACTTTAAAGAGTCCTCTCCTGCTGATGTTCAGGTGTATATCAGTATGTAGAGTCTCTACTTTAAAGAGTCCTCTCCTGCTGATGTTCAGGTGTATATCAGTATGTAGTGTCTCTACTTTAAAGAGTCCTCTCCTGCTGATGTTCAGGTGTATATCAGTATGTAGTGTCTCTACTTTAAAGAGTCCTCTCCTGCTGATGTTCAGGTGTATATCAGTATGTAGTGTCTCTACTTTAAAGAGTCCTCTCCTGCTGATGTTCAGGTGTATATCAGTATGCAGTGTCTCTACTTTAAAGAGTCCTCTCCTGCTGATGTTCAGGTGTATATCAGTATGTAGTGTCTCTACTTTAAAGAGTCCTCTCTTGCTGATGTTCAGGTGTATATCAGTATGTAGTATCTCTACTTTAAAGAGTCCTCTCCTGCTGATGTTCAGGTGTATATCAGTATGTAGTGTCTCTACTTTAAAGAGTCCTCTCCTGCTGATGTTCAGGTGTATATCAGTATGTAGTGTCTCTACTTTAAAGAGTCCTCTCCTGCTGATGTTCAGGTGTATATCAGTATGTAGTGTTTCTACTTTAAAGAGTCCTCTCCTGCTGATGTTCAGGTGTATATCAGTATGGAGTGTCTCTACTTTAAAGAGTCCTCTCCTGCTGATGTTCAGGTGTATATCAGTATGTAGTGTCTCTACTTTAAAGAGTCCTCTCCTGCTGATGTTCAGGTGTATATCAGTATGTAGTATCTCTACTTTAAAGAGTCCTCTCCTGCTGATGTTCAGGTGTATATCAGTATGTAGTGTCTCTACTTTAAAGAGTCCTCTCCTGCTGATGTTCAGGTGTATATCAGTATGGAGTGTCTCTACTTTAAAGAGTCCTCTCCTGCTGATGTTCAGGTGTATATCAGTATGTAGTGTCTCTACTTTAAAGAGTCCTCTCCTGCTGATGTTCAGGTGTATATCAGTATGTAGTGTCTCTACTTTAAAGAGTCCTCTCCTGCTGATGTTCAGGTGTATATCAGTATGTAGTGTCTCTACATGTCTCCATGCTTTAATGTTCAAAAAGCTCTTTATTCTTCTCATACTGCCTGTGCTTAAGCACCTCTTTTCACCCTCTGTCTGAAACCAGAGCCCAGTCTGCTCTGATTAGTAAGCTGGCCGGCTCTGTTGTGATTGGTCAACCGATTAGAGATGTACCACCTCTTAACACGTACAATGTGTTGGAGCGCGAGCCAATAGGAGCGTCAGTGTTCCATAGTGATGTCACTATGTTCGGGAACTACATAGCACACTGCAGGAGAAAGGGAACACCCCAAACAGCATGATAAGGCCTCTTTAATGACAGAGTTTAGCTCTAGTCTAAACCACAACAGGAGATAATAAATCATTAACCTCTCAATATATCAAAGAGACAAATTGTTAAATAAATATTTACATTACAAGTTTCAGTTTGGAAATATTCTATAACAAAAAAATCGATGGAAATATTAGGAAGTCTTTACTTGAAATTGTAAAACATGTTTATAGTAAATTGTGATTTTCTATAAAACAAAATCAAAAAATGTCAAACCTTATTGATAAATCCCGAAGCTGAATCATATCAAAACTATTCCTGTGAAATCTGTCAGATTTTTGGAAAAACTTAATTGACACTCATTGAAGTGTATCTTGAGTTTTGTACTACGTTATGAATGATGTAAGATAATGGTGTCAATATAGAGATTCCACATTTTAAGTGTGTATTTTAAAACATAAAACCCTCAGGATGTTATGTCCCACAGACTGCCCTCTGGGTAGAAAACACACAGAATACACAGCTCTGCGGCACACTATGATTGTCCCAACTTCCTGTGAAACACATACACACACACACACACACACACACACACACACACACCACACACACACACACACACACACACACACACCCACACACACACACACACACACACACACACACACACACACACACACACACACACACACACACACACACACTTTATACCGCGCCCTCCGGACTCTATTCTCTTGGTATTAAAAATTGGCTCCGGGGGAAAATAGCCCCCTTCCTGAATTCCAGCTCTCTTTCTTCATATAGGAAATAAGACAGAGCGAGTGTGTGTGTGTGTGGTGTGTGTGTGTGTGTGTGTGTGTGGTGTGTGTGTGTGTATGTGTGTGTGTGTGTGTGTGTGTGTCTGTGTGTGTGTTATAAACAGCTCCCTATTTAAGAAGCCAGGAGCATGCCCTTGGAGCCATTGTATGCACCTTTCTCACAAGCATTCACTCTCAACATCTACTACCTCAGTCTGTTTTCTTCCCAGTCACATTTACACTCAAGCTGTCAAATGTATATAATATATAATACAATCATCCAGTATCTTTAAGAGGGTAATATTTCTGTAATCCTGATCATAATTCATGCTTTTTCTCTGAGGAAATCAACCAAGGTAAGGCTAGTTTAACCCAAAGTGCTTTACAACAATTACAATACACATTAAAAGCATTACTTAAACACAAATACATAATCACTGCACCACTGCATTAAAGTGAGGATCCTCTGTCTGTAAGGTGACGTGAGACCACAGCAGTGTCTAGCTTTTAATCTGCTCTACATGTATCGACACGTTGCTCCTTATTGATTGTTTCACCTGAATTGATCAGCTGGAGGCCAGAGAGGCTAAATGCAGACTGGCTGCAGTCGAATAGTCCAAAAGTCAGCTCCTATCGTCTATCCCTATATTATATTCCTATCGTCTATCCCTTGACCTCTGAGTGAAAGGTCACAGGGTTAAGGGATAGTGGATAGGAGAATTCAAAAGGACTTAGGAGAAGAGACCGCGGTACTTTAGAGAATCAACTGCACTTTCGCTATCCGACGTGTTTCTGATGCGCCAGCGGACGTCCTGAATGTGCGTCTGCTGCTGTGGGGTAAACTATGGAGACTACAGTTCTCTATACAGCGGACTACAACATGGATGTTCAATAAGAACGAGGGACTCCTGTGAACTCATCTAGAGACTCTGTGCTCTGACGCTGCTGCTTTATGCTTTATGAACGTGGACAACAGAGAAACAGATTCTTCAGGACCAAAGCTGGAATTGAAACAAAAAAGGAAAGTGAAACTTCTGCTCGTCCCCCTCTCCCTCCGGTCCACATTAATACAAATGATCCCAATACGTATGATTGATGAAGATCTTAAATCAATACAGATGTATTTATTATAAACGTTAGTCCTTAACATCTATCACTGTGTATATCACCATTCAAACATCTTTTAAAAGTTGAACAAACCCCACAGCTCAGTAAAGACTGTGAGATGTTGACTTTATTTGATCATTTCAGTAAAAACTAACGTTCATATTTCTCTCTTTTGATTATAATACTGATGAACGTTCAGAACAAAGCACTTTGGCAACTTACCACATACGTTTAGCTTAATAAGCACCGTAACTTTCATGATATCATTTCTCCGTCATAATCGGTTGTTTCCGTGAACGGCCGACTGTTGAGTGATGGCAAATGCTGCGGCTGCAATGCATTGTGGGGCAGCATTTTCTCCTCTCCTCTCGGTGAGGGAGGTCCAGTGGTTCCTAAGCTAAAGGAGGTTATAAAGGAAGCTTTGAAACCTCCTTTCCTTTCATTTAGAGAATTGGAACGGCACTTATCATGGCTGCCACTGAGGGACTTCCGGGTCATTTCACTCGGTGAGGAAGGTTCCTGAGCTAAATGGACTATTGGAATGCAGCCTCTGTGTTTCTAAAGCTGACCTGAGGCTCTTTATTTCCTCTCTTTCCCTCGTTTGAAAGGGCCGGCTTAAATAAGTGGCCACAAATCCACCTCTCTCTCTCTCTCTCTCTCTCTCTCTCTCTCTCTCTCTCTCTCTCTCTCTCTCTCTCTCTCTCTCTCTCTCTCTCTCTCTCTCTCTCTCTCTCTCTCTCTCTCTCTCTCTCTCTCTCTCTCTCTCTCTCAAATACTTTAAACAGGATGTCGAAATAGTTTGTTTAAATGTACCCAGAGTCCCGGCTGATCCCACCCAATCAAACATGAATAAACATTTCCTGAGTGTAATTACAAATGTACAGATACTGGCACACCAACACACACACACACACACACACACACACACACACACACACACACACACACACACACCACACACACACACACACACACACACACACACACACACACACACACACACACACACACACACACACACACACACACACACACACACACACACACACACACACACACTCCAATGTTCTATAGGTACACACCCATATGATCCCGGAGATCAACAAAAACGTCCTGATGGTTATCTCACCATTGTGTGTGTGCAGGAGTGTGTGTGTGTGTGTGTGTGTGTGTGTGATCTCTATGCCACCCTGCTGTATTATTTTAAGTGCATGTCTCAACTTGCATCTTATGTAACCCAAAAAGCCATTAACTCGTGCTTTCCCTTTCTTTGTTGTCCAACACAAGCAAGGATGAAAACAAAGGTAAGAAATATATATCTAAATGTGTCTGCTGAATTCCCTTTATAACTTACAAGTGAAGGGAGCACCAGTTGAATAACTGGCTGCAGTATCTAAAGTGAAAGAGCATGTTTTCTATGGAAGAGGATCATTTACATTTGCTGAACACAAGAGAAAACAACAACAACAACAACAACACAAAGAAAAGGACGGAGGTAAAGTCATATACACATCTATTACATTGCTGACATGAACCACGCTGTATTGGTAGCTAA